CTCGTAATGGGTGCATGAACAGGTGCTATTCAGATCTGTACATCAAGGTACAAAACTTGATATTTGGTCAGCTGGAGTCACTTTACTCTATTTCATTATTGGCCGAACACCATTTGCTGGAGATCCTGACCAGTAAGAAACTTTGTCTGTATTCATTGCCATTGAACAAGATAAATGATTATGGGAATTTGCTAACCATTGTATAATATCTAATTAGGAACATAAAGGAAATAGTGAAATTGAAAGGAAGTGAAGACTTGTGGGAAGTGGCCAAACTACACAACCGAGAGTCTTCATTTCCAGCGGTACTAATAATTCCAATGTTTTCTTGAACTGTTCTTTTTTTCATTCAGCTCCATATGCATAGTTCTGAATAGTACATTACCATGAAACAGGATTTATTTGACACCAAATCTCTATCGCCTGTAAAATTACGAGATTGGTGTTCAAGAAACACCAGAAAATTAGATTTTCTGGAGATCATTCCCCAATCACTTATTGATCTTGTGGACAAGTGTTTAACATCAAACCCAAGACTGAGGATTAGTGCGGAGGACGCCCTCCGGCATGAGTTCTTTGCTCCATGCTACGAGACTTGGAGAAAGCAGAAGTTGCATCGTCTAAGGTTTTGCCAAGAGTCCCAAGATCTAGGATCTACACTTACTCTACCAGAAAGTTCTCAGTCGTGTAGTATTGTAAACAAGATACAAGTAGCTAATTGAAGCCTTTTTTCCTTTTTACCAGTTATCATGTAAAAATATCTAACCAATGCATGTAATTCTTTCAACAACTCTTGAATTTAGTGTAGTCATATGCTTTACTGATGTTGTATCTATAAGTCGTTAATAGAAACTCAAGGCTATTGTCTGCTGCCTTTCTTTAACTGTGACCGGAATCATTTGTTATCATTCAAAGAAGTGAATGAAAGCGTTTTACAGGTTTAGGTGTTAATGTGGTGTGAACCATCATCAGTTTACTTGCAAGAAAAGGCAAGCAGATTCTTCATACTCCTTGTTCCTTTTGTTCTTTGAAGGTTCAAGGAAGCTTACTTTTACAAGTAGTAGATTATTTTATTTTTAACACACACTCTTTGAATGGGAGACTTTGAAAAGGAGAATAAATGTTGTTGATGACATGGCAGTTTTCAATTGGCTGAAATACGTGGAAACATAGAGGTGACACCCCCGGTCAATTCTATCAAAAACCAACTTGTGGTTTTTGAGATAATTTATAACTTAACCTATACGTAATACTTATACAATTGGTTCTTCTAGTTTCTTCTGAACCCAACGACTCAGTATTTCCCTTAATTACCCCTGTATTTAAACATTAAATTAAATTACTGCTCTCCTCCAGATTTCATTTTTCTTTCGTCAATATTAGCCATATAATTTTGTTTAGTTTGTGGAATGCTAAACATTGCTTCACTTCTATCAATTAACGCATGATTTTTTTTATCGTATACGATATTATCCACCCATAAATTATTTAAAATCAGAAGCAATGACAAAAGACAATGTGACTAGCCGATAAGTTTTTTATTACCAAACGTAGACAATTAATTAATTTCTTACTAAAATTAATATGCAATTTATTGGATTTATTTTGTAGTATTTACAAAAGTAATTATTACTTTTAATTCAATATATCCGATATGTAAAAAAAGAAAAGAAAAAAAATAATCTTTGAGGGTATAAATGTAAAGTTACAAGAACTGACTCTGGAATTTTCATGTTATTTCCTGTAAATTCGAGAAGCGACTAATTATCCGAAAATCCGCACTATATAAACGCATCTTCAACGCCTTACAGGCAAAAGACTTTCGCATATCGGTATAGCAAATATTGTGTACGTTCAGATAAATATCCTTTGCTCGTTTCAGTTCCAAAAACTCGAAGAAGAAGAAGAGAATAATGGAGGGTTTCACATCGTTCTTCGACTCGCAATCTGCCTCTCGCAACCGCTGGAGTTATGATTCTCTCAAAAACTTCCGCCAGATCTCACCTCTCGTTCAAACTCATCTCAAGCAGGTATTTTCATCTCTTCTGTTCTGTTAATTTTGATACAGATTTGTGATTTCCTACGGTATTATCAACTTTTTAGGTAGATATTGTGGTTTGTTTTTAGGTTATTGATATTTGAGAGTTCTTATGGTTCGATTGTTGTTTTGTTATTTGCACGGTTGAATTTGGAACGCTTTCGGTGATTAGAATCAAATTGTTTTACCCTGCGGCTACGTAACTTAGCGGATTATTTGTTGTTTGTTGAAAATTGCCCTAATTTTTAGTTTTGCTTTGAAATTTGTGGAAGCCCTAATTCTCACCTTCTCCTTATTGACATTGAAAGGAGAGAAGATTAAATTGAAGTTTTGTTGTATAGTTCCTTCTTTTCCACATGGTTTGAAGTTCATTCTATCATGAGTTAGTTAAATAAAATTTGGTATTACGTTGGATGTTTCTTTGGCAACTAATCACAGATTTTGTACATAAGAGAAGATATTTAAATGAGCTGCACCGTTGGATGTGTGTGTATGTATCAACAAAAACTCGTTTTTAAATAACCATTATATCAGACGATCGTTCCTGGACCAACGTTTTGATTGATTAGTATTGTGAATTCATGATAAATTAAGAAAGAATTTTTGCGTTGAATTGTATCAATGTGGAAGAATTTGTTACACATCTCCCCTTTTTTTTTTTTTTTTTCAGTATATGTCGTTTTACCATGGCTTGTGTATGTGTTTTGATTTTGATTAATTTTATGGTTACAGGTCTACCTGACGCTATGCTGTGCTTTAGTGGCATCAGCTGCTGGGGCTTACCTTCACATTCTATGGAATATCGGTGGCCTCCTCACAACATTGGCTTGCATGGGAAGCATGGTGTGGCTTCTGTCAAGTCCTCCTTATCAAGAGGTACACACCAACTTTACTGCCTTATAAACCTTAGCAGTCGCTTGCCGTGGGCCTCCTTTAGTTGTGCACTTTTGTGGTTATGTCTGTTATTGAATTTGAACTTATATTTTCGTTATTTCGGTGAGCAGCAAAAAAGGGTGGCTCTTCTGATGGCAGCTGCACTTTTTGAAGGCGCTTCTATTGGTCCTCTGATTGAGCTGGGCATTAACTTCGATCCAAGGTGTGTCTCCCTTCCTTATTGTCATTTTTTCTGTTTGAAAATATTGCTCCTGTTCTCTAGTGTGTTAGTTTTGACGGTTGTGTTCTATGTTAAGCTGCCTGTGTGAAATCCACTGTTTTGGGATTTTCAGCTTTTGAGTCGGAAGTGGGACCACATTGTTGTGTGATCTTAGGGTATTAGGTTTGGTCTTTAGATTTTCAGCACTCGATTTGAATTGCAGCGTCTTCTGCATTTGAATGCATCATTTTGTGTATTTGTGTTTTCCTTTCTCTTAAATGCTAAAGCATCACAAGAATATGCCCTATTTTACTTGGGGTAGTTGAACTCTACCCACAAAGGGAGTAGAATGAATGCTGTCTTTTTCAGGTTCAATCCAATCTAATTCAGTTGGTGACAGTCTGATCCTTGATTTTGACTGTTGCATTATCAGGGAAGTGTTTTGTGTGACTCTTGTAACTTAGCACCTCTCATTACTGTTTTCTTGTAGTAGCTTGTGGAATTCTGTGCCCTTGTATGAATTGTGCAATTCGTATATTTTAGAACTGACTATATAACAGCTTTAAAGTTATAACATCCTTGAGAGAGGCTCTTCTGATACGTAGATTTCTCCCATTGCAGCATTGTGTTTGGTGCTTTTGTAGGTTGTGCTGTGGTTTTTGGTTGCTTCTCAGCCGCTGCCATGTTGGCCAGGCGTAGGGAGTACTTGTACCTCGGGGGCCTTCTTTCATCCGGTGTCTCCCTTCTCTTCTGGTTGCACTTCGCATCCTCCATTTTTGGTGGTTCCATGGCTGTTTTCAAGTTTGAGGTATTTGCATTGTTTTCTGCATGCTGCAGTTTCAACTTTTAGCATCGTTTAATTTGCAAGTTGCTCTAATATTTTTCTTCCACTAACACCACACCTCCTATTTGGCAGTTGTATTTCGGACTCTTGGTGTTTGTGGGCTACATCGTCTTTGACACCCAAGAAATTATCGAGAAGGCTCACTTGGGTGATATAGACTACGTTAAGCATGCATTGACCCTGTTCACAGATTTTGTTGCTGTTTTTGTGCGCATTCTGATCATCATGGTAAGGGGAGATATTTCATTGGTTATGCTTGAAATGTCTCTGATCATTTGATGTTTTGACCATTAAATTGACTCTTGTTTCCCTTCTTTGCAGTTAAAGAATGCATCCGAGAAAGAAGAGAAGAAGAAGAAGAGGAGAAACTAGATTTGGTTCTATGGGCTCCTGGGACTCAACCTGTGTGGTTGTCATAATACATTGTGTTCACCTGAAACAAGCATGTTAATAGTTTGATTCTAGCTTTAGCATAGGCTGTGATACAATATCGTGTGACATGCCATTATGGCTACGATTGAACATAGCCTTTTTATCTTTTGAAGCTTTTTAACATTTGACAAGAGAAGTTCCTTGTTATAATATTGAAGACGGTACTATAATTTCTTTTTTCATCTCCTTTCTCTATTCATTCGTTCTGCGTTTTCAGATATTTACAACCCCAAAGTTAGTTATCGATCCTGTAATTTCACCGTCTGTTGAGTGAGCTGGAGGAGATGCTATTGTTGTATGACAAATATATATGCCTAAAATGCAAAACAATTTAAGAAAGTTTTATACAACTGGGGTGTTGATGGTATCAGGGGGAAGTATGACCAAAACAACTACAATAAGAGTTCCCAAGATAACGAAAATAGGATGGATTACGATTCAGTTTTTTAACTCATACTGAAGTGCAAACATGAAATTAAGTCAATCGGACTCTTTAATTTGTCTGGAGAAGAAGTACTAGCTCCCACTTTTTTTGCTCTCTTGGTGACTCGAACTCGCAAATCCGAAACTCTCTTGGTGACTCGAACTCGCAACCTTCGGATTGGAAGTGAGGGGTGCTTACCATCCGAGCAACACTCTCTCGTCCATAATAGTAGTATTCTACCAGTTTTAAAAGGGAAAAAAAAAAGGACAGAAAACGGATCATATTTGTGGATCATCCCGGTCTGACCGGGTTAAATGATCCATGTCGTAGTAAAACCCAGAGAGAGCGACTACTCTTCTTCTTCATCAGCTTGACTGTGAATCCAATTTTTCCAACTCCAGAAGAAAATTTCTCGCAGTAGAGCAATTCTTCTCCTTTTGCCTAATTGGAGCTGGAGGTTTGTTATAGGAAAAAAAAAATTAAGCAAATGAAGAAGCTTATAGAGTTCGGACGAAAGGCGATGTTCTATATTAGGGTTCTCTCAGGATACGAAGAGCGTAAAATCCGATCCTATCGGTTACAGCTTCAACAGCGTCTTCAACAGGTTATTCTTCATTCCCAATTTTACTTAGAAATGTGTAAGTTAAGTTAATTGGAAGAGGGCAAAGATATATTATAAATTAACATGGTTTTGCAGTCAACTTTGGGATTATATGGCTTCTTAATTGTTAGTCTCATGTTACTACTTGATGGTATACTAAAGCTTTAATCTTGCCTACACTAAGCTTTATTTGAACTGGAAAAATCCAATTTTAAATCACCAAAGGCAGCTATTGGACCTTAATTTTATCTGTTACCTGAGATTTGTGTCTGTTGCAGGGAAAGTTTGTATTGGGTAGATTGTAGAATCTTCAGTTTTTGGGTTAAAGACTTCATTTGAGGCATAATTATACGCTATCACAAGCTTCCTTCTCTTGAGCATCCAGGAATCTTTTTATTTTATTCGTTTGGTGAGGGTGGGGATAGGAACATCTTCATGCTCGATAGCCGAATCCCATGTCTCCAGTCCCAATTATATTTATGTCGAAAATTTCAGAAAGTATATATGAAGTCTATACACATTGTGCACCCAAGGTGTGGCCTATTGGTTAATGAAGTGGTTGAAAATCTGAGGTATCAGGTTCAAAACTTAGCAGAAACAAAAAACACTAGGTGATTCGTCCCATCTGTCCCAGCCTTAGTGGATAGAGTCACTTGGTACTTGTTGCTGGTGGGAGGTGGCAGGTATTCAGTGGAGTTAGTTGAGGTGTGTGTAAAGCTGGCTCGGACACCACAATCATCATAAAAAAATGTCTATACACATTGTAAACAGAGAGTAATGTGTGCACTTGCACTTTGCACGACTTCATTAAAATCCCGAATGGCCTCATGGTTGAAGGTCAGGTTTTCTAGTTTATGTAGGAAATGGGTGGCCCCTGATGATTTTAAGTTTGGTTCCAGTTCCCAGTACACCCACCTGAAAAGTATAGAAGAAGCGGTATAGGTGCAGTGGCTAGAGACTAAATTAATCCTTGATAGTTTATTGCAAAGAAATTTGACAAATTGCAGTCTTTGAAAATATTAGTTGATAGTATGCCATGCTTTTTGTCATAAACCCTTTTTCTGATGTCTGTCTCTGTATCACTGTGTGTCTGATCAGGCAGAAGAGAGGAAGGCGGCAGTAAGGAAGATTCCTGAGCAGATGATTTTATCAGAAGTTAGACGCATGGTGGAAGAGATGCAAGCTTTAAATAAGAAGTTAGAAGATACTGTAAGCTCACAATCTTCTTGATTCTTATTTCTAATGTTTTGTGATTGTGAAGCATGCTGCCAATTGCCTTAATCGTTCTGATTATAACACTTTAGAAACAGTGAAACTGTCAATGGTGCATTTTTTAGATTAAAATGTTTGAATAGCTTACTCCATTGAGTGTGGTAAAAAGGTGTAATGTAGGAGTAATTGCTCAATATATATAGGTGAATAACATAAGGTGATAAGATTGTCATGTCAAATTTGAAATGGTATAACATAGTGTTGGCTTATATTAGTTTGAACTGTCCTATCAGGAAAATTTATACTAGTTTGAATTGCCAGTGCGAGAGAAAAAGATGTCAAGTGACAGGCTGCAAAGTGAAGTAGATTAATTCATTAGGATGGATCCCTTGCTTTTGTTTTACTTCAGTTTGCAGTAGAGAAGAGCCAAGTTCTCTACTGATATCAATTTACTTTTCTTTAAGACTCATGTTTATTATAACTTCTTTGCCATCTCTTTTAGTAGTTGGTCGTGGTTAATTCCAAGAATGAATCCCTTAGATAAAATTTTCACTTCCCACCTACCCATAACAAAGAAGTGTGTTTGTTCTCTTTATTCCTGTCTCTGCGTACCCTTCTCTTATCTGGTTGTCTATTTACTCCCTAGTGCCATTGTACGTTTACTATACGTTCACTCCTCTCAGGAAATCTGGATCCCTCGCCATCCCTTTTCTTTCTGCAGACTGGCAGTTCATGAGTGTCGATCAATATTGCTCCCGATTCATACTCGTCTATCTGTTAAGTCAGAATCACTTATTGTCTCATGGTGTTAGGAGGAACTTAATTTTGCTGAATGTAAAATAGGGCTGGGTTCGATCTTCTCCAACTCATGACTTTTCTGCTACTTATAGTATGTGCCTCCTGTGTTATTGATGTGATTGATATGATTGATTAATGGTTGAATATTTTCAGGAGACAGCTATAACTGATTATTTCAAGCCTTTAGACCAGCAGGCAGAGGAAGTAGTGAAAATGCAACTAAAGGGAGATGAGAAGAGAAAAGATGAGATGATGGAGGCCATGCAGAAGCAAGCACTTCTTGAGATGGCTCAAGCAGAGAAACAGAAAAACATGCAAATGCTAAACACAAACAAACATGTCCAAGAGAAAACATCTACAGAGACACTCAATCAGAAGTAAGATAATTTTGTAGAGTAGTTAATTGTTTGCGAAATTGGTACTGTTAGAGTTCATATAGTCTTGCTTCTCCGAAGGGCATTATTTTGGAAATGCAAGAAAGAGAAATCAGGCCCTGTCCTAAGCATCGGATGAATTTGTAACAATAAGGAGTGACCAGCCTCCATAGAGCGGAGATAGGATTTAGAGTTTACGAGTTCTGAATTCTAGGAAATACAACTTATTCTTGATAAACTATGTATACATATTTGAGTGGATTTTTAACCACAAATACAAGGAAGTTTTATGTTCCCTGCATTGAAGTCATCAAGGTGTTTTATTCCTCGCCAAGAATATTGTTCAAATTAATTCAAACTTGTTGATTAGAGTTCAAATTAATAAATTCAAAGTTGTCAACAGATAATATTTTGAAGTTGGACTGACCAAGGCTGCCCAAACCAAGAAGTTCCTATTCTTTGATTTGTTCCTTTGATGTTTTGACAAAGTCTAGAAGTAGAAATAATTAAGATTTTGTGCGTGGGGGTGGGGGTGGGGGGGTGGATAAAAGATTATTTACTCTAAACAAAGACTCATGATCCCAAAAATTTAAATCTTCTACATTTGCCACATAATTATGACCCACATAGAGCTCCAAGAATAGTACCCCTCTTTCCCAAACAAAAAAAGAAGAATAAAAGGTGCATAGACTATATCAAAAATATTAAATTAACAGCAACAATAATAATATATTCAATTTAATTGATCAATAAAATAGTTGAGAATCTTGATATCTCAAATTCAAAACTCAGAAGAAATTAAATGCTAGGTAAATATATTTTTATGTAATTCTACGAGTCTGGAAATCAATAATATTAAATTACTAGCAACCAAATCACCCCAAAAGACAGTTCAATTGAATTTGTCCACTTTTATTATTACTTATTAAACAAGGGATTTATTGGTTGTCGTCGTGTCTATTATCTACCATCACTAAGATACACCCAAATAAAAGATTCTTTTTTTAAAAAAAAACTCAGAGAACAAAGGGGAAAAAAATGAAGTTATCTCTGATTGGTTTTTCCTTATATATCTTATTCATGTATCTTTTTAAAATAAATTTCTAACCTTTAGTCATTTTTTATTTTTTTAAAAAGCAAAATGTTGTGAGTCAAACAATGCTGGATTAATCCACAAGAAAAGATAACATTTTATTATTGGTGCATCCCTATTCCCTAATACTTATTTGATTTTTCTTCTCTGAATCATTTCAACTCATTTTAGTCTTAGGCTCTTAGGTTTGCCTGTGTGAGCTTGCTTATTATATTATCGATCAGATAAAGGAGGTAGTTTTTATCTCCTCACTATCCACTCAACGTCCTAACTCCAAACCTTTCTTATATTTAGATAACATTTAAGATAATATTTTTTTACTTACTTATCAAACATTAAAAAATAAGTAAAAAAAACTCCTTTATTTTTGTAAAAAGATTATTTTCCTTCATATTTACTAAACACACCCCTTAAGCAAATACTTTTGGTCACATGAAAGACACACACACACACACACACACACACATATATATATATATATATA